TCCAATTTGCATATTTCTGCAGCTGTAACAGCTGTCAACGCTGGACGCGACGCAGGACTTATTGTCGGAGGAGGAATTGGGGTAGCGGCAGCCCCAAAGATAATGTCCGCCGGCCAGCGAACTCGCCGACTGATGTCTGGGGCAATGGAGTGTGCAAATTAGGGCCCCGGTCTGGAAACGCAAATCGGAAAGGGGCTTCCCCATTTTGGCACGGGCACATAGCATTACGTTCATGTCCCAGTAAGCACATACTTAACTCTCAGCACTTTTGCTGGGTAAGAAACTTTGCACCAAAACCGGTCGACTGCAAGAGAAATGTCTCTCTTAATAACACAAAAAATTTTAGAAAAATAATAAATAAACAGATAATTCTTTAAAAATAAATGAGAAATAATTTTTTTTCACAAATTTAAGTTATATATAATTTAGGTCTAGAAACGCTTTAGTAACCAGTAATTGCTAACTACAAACTATTGTCAAAAGAATAAGACGACATTTTAAATGTTAAGTTAATTAAGCTAGTAAAAAATTCATAAAGAGTAAACCCCAAAAAATAAATCGTTTTAGGTACTGAAATAAGAAGGTCTTTCAAAAACTTTTCCTAAATATTTAATAACTTCAATATATGGAGAAATAAAACAAATTAATAATGTGTCCCAATAAAATTGTTAACAAACAGTGATAGGGCATTACAAATTCCCTGCCTAGAAACGTTTTTGTCCAGCAAACTTTGTTTCGCTTTCTTCGGTTTTATGCCATTTTATTTCGTTTCTTTCTTTGGCTTGTAACGCTGTCACATTACCTACATCAAGTGTCACTTTAAAACGCATTTTTCTTTCACCCCGCTCGGGTCTCATTTTGAAGTGTTGCTCAAAGCTGTCGCCACTTTGCTTTATCTAAAGACCGTTCGCCCGATGTCCTGCCCGACCGATTTGCCTCAATTTTCGTCCCTCTGGTGGCTCGTGTTTGTAAACAATTCGAGGGACATTAAGTTCCAATTAAGTAACATTCCAGGCAAATCAGAGACCCGGCCTCTGGCATTTGTTTATGCTGCTGTTGTTGGCATTTGTGTTGCGGGGGCGGCAGCAGATTGCTTTGTTAATATTAATTTGTCATTAGTTTGGCTTACGAGCCGTCTCGTTTAAAATGCATTGATAGGCCAAGTGGCTCTTATCACAGCTACAGCTGCGAGCTGTGTACGTAGACACTGGGTCGGTTGTCTTGCCATCAGATAAGTTTAATGCGCTTTAAACTGTTTGGCTAGAAGCTTGCGGCCTATCCAGAGATGGGTCTGAAATCCCCCTTTTCGGCCAGGGTCCTTTTGAAAACTAGGCACAACTGTTGCTCGGCCACTTTGCTGATGAAAGGGTGCGAAGGTATTTCGGTTGCGGCCCAACCGCAAACTCACCTGTTCCCAACTCAGCTTCTCAACCGTTTCTATTGGATTGTGCACCCAGAAAAAAATAAAATATTTTCTCTTTTGTTTTTACAATGGCTTTCAAATGGTTCATTTACCTTATATCGGTCAATTCTGGTTCCTTATTTGCTTCTGTTTTATTTTATTTACCTAATATATTCTTTAACGGAGTCTATTCTTTAACATTATCCTTGAGGCAGTTATCCTGACTTATTAGAAATATCTAAAAAATATATTGATTTAAAAATGTGACAGACATATTTTACATCAACAACGTTTTAAATTTCGTCAATGAAGGAATAACAATTTATATAAATATCAATTAATAATTATAATATTCTTTGGAATCAAAAAAATTAAGTAATCAAATAATTAGTAAAGTCGTTTGTATTGAGAGCACAAAAATATTGTTTCAAATTGAAATATGCTTTTGACATCATATTTCTGCTTATGTAAACACTTGTTTTATGGTTTCTATTAAGAAAATGAGGGATAATTTTTCCAGTGCAGTCTTTGCGTTATCTGGTCATCGGTTGAGGACCTTAGTGTGCTTTTCTTAGGTTGCCACTTTGATGGACAGATCTTGGAGCACAAGCCATAGAGATTTCATTTTCCGCACCAAGTCCTTTTTGGCTGGACGAGTTCTCTTTTTGTGGCTCTAACTGTGCTTTTTGCCGGCCATCATCTTGTTTATATTTTTATACCTTGCATATTATAATTTTGGTCAAGTTTGTAACGCTAAGAGACGTTTCACCCCATAAAGTATATATATTCTTGATCGATCAATAGGGAGTCGATATAGCCATGTCCTCTGTCCGTCTGTCCTCTGTCCGTCTGTCCGTCTGTCCGTCTTTTCATACCGTTTGGCTCATTTAAAGCTGCGATCTGAAACTTTCACATCGTCCTAACATGTGTACGCGATCAGTTTGAAATGCCCGATCACTTTATCCTATGTAGGAACATTTATTTTGCGAATTTATGATATTTGCGCGTGTAAGCTATTGACATTAATCTTTACAAATCGTATTTTTTATACCTTAAGGCGGTACGTTATTAGTCAAAAAATGGTTAATTTAATGATTTTTTTGAAGCCTTACATAACTCAACTTTTTTGATCTACTTGATTTATTTATCCTACTGGGTAATGTATTTTTTTATATTTCTTAAGCTATTGTGTTTTTCAATGTATTTTTATCATCTTTATAGGTTGTACGTTATATCTATAACAATAGTATGGTATCATTTTTAGATATTTGTGTTTATTTTTAAGTTTTTTAGTTTTTTAAGCGTTGACGTTTTTTATTAATATTTGATTTTTTTATATAATTTTTAAAGATTATACTATTTATTTATTATTTATTTTTTTTTTATTTTAATTTTTTTATTTTCATCTGCTTCTTTTTACGCTTCAACACGGACGGACTATGGGAGTATGGCACACATATATATATATGTATTTATATAAACACTGCCAGCACTCAAAGGCTTCGGCCTCAAGTGTCGACGTTTTTTATTTCACGCTACTTTGAGCTGATACACATGCAAATACACACACACACACACACACATATTGCGGGGGCCACAAAGCGTAAAATGTATAAAGCTTATGCCAACAGGCAGCCCCATTCGACCCACTGCCTTTAGTCAGTCAGTCAGTGAGGCGCGTTATTTCAGTTTAGTTTAGCATACCCCGCCTTTTCTCCCAACCAAATACGCATGAAAAGCATATATATATATATGTTTTGAATGCAACTGCCACGGCAACCGCAACATCTGGCTTTCAATAGAGGTATATAGTGGAATATGGCGAAAAGGAAGGTGTTATCTGATTGCCATTTTAAACACAGCGCCCGGCTGCAGCAATTTCGAGTGCAATTGGCAAAGCACTGGCCAAATCAAAAGCGATGCCCACAGAAAGGCGAAGTGAGTGCATAAAAAGCAGCGCCAGATTCAATGAATGGCTCAGTGATTCCACAGCCCCCCATCGAAACCCGACGGCCAGTACCCGGGGAGACATTAAAAGATAATCGGCACCAAGTAGAAGCGCAATCAGAGTCCCGCCAAGGGGATGAAAGATGGACAGACACTTTTCGTATTTGTCAACGGATTGCCAAAGCCAAGTTGTCAAAGGATGAGCTGGTTTAGAGACTGGGTAGCCTCGCTAAATCATTCCGTTTGCCCAGGAACATACTAAAATTATGCTGAATTCGAATTGATTTGTAATGTTTTATTCTTAATAACTGCAATTATTAGTACGAAATATTTTTTTAGTTGAAAAAGTATTTTATTTGTAAGAAAATAACGTAACAGAAATAGGAATTTATTTTATTTCACCTTAATTGGTGTATTCTCTTGCAAAACACAAGTAGGGCTTATATATGCGCATCACTGCCATTACCACCAATAATATTTGAAAGTCGGGGGTCTATCAGAAGAAAATGATTATTAATTAACGTTCAATTACTGCAATTATAAAGTCCAAGAAACCGAGAAGCCTAAACACCGCAATTAGTTGACGATTTTCCATGCTGAATTATTCAATATTCCCACCATAAACCACTTGCATGAAGTCTTTGAAGGCCCTTTGCAGTTCTAGTCGTTTTTCGTTACTGTTAATTGAAATAATAATTCATGCTCACGTTGCTTGTTAGGGCATCGGACATTTCCCCCTTTTTCTTGGTCTGTGTCTGTCTTTGACTTCCTGTTGCTTGTTTTCTGTTTGCTTACGCTTTCCTGACCAACTCATGTGTGTTTGTGTGTGTGTTTGCTTACACTGAGCGAAACGGAGTCGGTCGGGCTGTGAGTGCAACAGGGCGTATGTGCAACGCAAGTCGTTTAAAAGTCACACACTAATTAAACGGCACTCGGACACTTTGGTCGACTAGTCCGTGAGTGTACTGGATACTATGGTATGGTATAGCTTAGTGTGTGTGTGTGTGTGTGTGGTATGGCACACTGCTTACACTATCGGCAATTAAAATCTAAAAAGTAGCCAGCTCTTCCTGTCTGGCCAATGTCCACAAGGCTGGCTGCTATTTGCTTAAGCGTCTCCCCAGATGGAGGTAAATGATTGAGCTCTGGTTAGCGCAGAGCTGGGCAAATAATGTGGTATGCCACACTAGATTTTAATGAATGAAAGCGATAATCGTTTTGAATTGCTTCAAAGGAGACACTGCTCCACTGAGTAAATAAAACGCGAAATCGTGGGGCCATCAAAAAGAAACATTTGCGTTGACTAGTTTGACTTATATTGCCTTTAAGAGCGTATTTTAATTTGTTACCGAATTGAGCGATGCAATTCTCAAAGCACTTGTAAATTCTTACACATAAATCCTTTATTGAGGTTTTTTAAACAGGTTATTGTTTTGACTTTTTTGCGGAAAGCCTTTAGAAAAGATATTCAGCTTAAGTTTTCTTATATTGTGTTTATATTATATTTTATATAACTATTATTATTACTTTTAGAAACCATTTTTTGTTAATTTTTAATTTCATAATTTATTTTGAGGGTACCTTAAAAATAAGTTCAAAAGATTTTTTTGAAATGCTTTTTTTATAAGCATTTGCATTTTTTATATTTTTGTTTTCCATATTGACCACAATCACATTACCATGTCAAATAGCTGACTGAGGAATCATTAGGTAATCCTTGCTTATTTAACCACAGCTAAACTTCACTCCCATTAAAAAAAAAATATTTTTTTAGTTAAATTTGCCAATGGTTTTAGTTTTTTGTATAGGTTTTTTATTTCGGTTAGCCACTTAAGCGAATGGGGAAAGTGGACTAACGCCAAAGATGCCGCCGGCAATGCCACCAACGCCGCCAATGGCCGGATATCCAATATTATAGCCACCGCCATAACCATAAGGACGACCATAATATCCGCCCGACAGTCCCAAGCCGCTGGAGCCGTACAGATTGCCGTAAGGATAAAGTGAAGAGCGTATGCCGGCGTAGCTTCCATAGCCCCCGTATCCACCGATTCCTCCGTATCCTCCGTATCCACCGTATCCTCCGACGTAGCCGCCCATGTATGGATAGGGAATTTGGCGACTCACTCGCTCGCCCCTTTCAGAATCCTCGTTTTTTCCGGACTCATTTTGCTGCAGCGGTTGGCCAACTGTTGCGGCGATTAGCACGGCATATAATCCGAATAAAAACCAGCTACGCATTATCCTTATTGCTCCTTGAACTGCTTGCTGGTCGCTTGACTTTATCAGTGGCTTTATGGTTGCTCCGCTCTCCGTTTTCAGACTGTGACCTGGCCAACTCGCGACCGGTGTCTTTATAGCCTAGAACTTTGGGCATAAAATGGAAACTTTTGTTTCGCTTTTTCCGCACTGCTTGTACTTGGTCTGTTTGTTTTTGCGGCCGCTTGTTAGCAGAAATTAGATGCTAATGTAAATGCCATAAAACAAACTATTAAAATATGCGAGTACGATGCCCCTGCCCCTCCGCCGTCAGCCCGCAAATACGAAACAAAAAGCCAATTCATATGGTTGGCCCGGGAATTTTTTGGTGGCACGCTAAGTGGCGCTCATGAAATCGAATGGCAGCCAGTGGCAGTTTAAAGAGCAAAACATTTCACTTTGCGGCGGAACCAACTTCTGAGCAGTGCTGGCCAGATTACAGGAGGTAGCCAAATTGCATTTTAAATATTTTATGACACTCGGAAAGGCTTCAACCGCTTTTTCCTTTAAAATTGTTCAGTTTCTTTAAATTTAATACATTTTAGTGAACACATCAAATTTAAGCAAACTGAACAAAAAGTTTGTGCACAAGATTAACGTTTTGTACTTTGAGCCTTAATATTAAATTTTTATGTAAATTTATTTTCTGAATTGAATATAAAAACGAATATGTTTATGACACTCACTATGCCAAGTCTTGGCTTATAATAAAGGTAAATTTAAAACAAGCCGGATCATCAGCGATGAAACCAATAATTTAATTATCAAAATTAAGCTAGAACCATTTGGGAATTAAAGCTTCGAGTGCGTAGAAAGATTCTTTAATTTTAAATTCGAATTGCACTGTTTGAAATTAATAACTATTATTATTGTCTAAAAATTGTTCTTGTAAGAATCGATTTCTTAAAAATTCAGATTTTTGTAACTTAAGACTTTGGCTATAATACCGCCAAGTGGGCCACTCTGCTCTTGCGGTCAGGTAAGCTGTGTAAATGTGCTAATTTCATTTGAAGGTTAGTTATGCTATTGACCGGGCACAGAACCACGCCCACTTCACTCCCACTTCCATACTCATACCCCATACCCCATACTAAATAATTCTCATTCCCATTCCCAGACTTTTGGCAGACGCCGCCAACTTCAGGGTGCGTAAGTGTGAATTGCTGTTAGCTGTTGCTCTTGTTGTTTGCCGAGTTCGGCCAGTTTGCGAGTTTGCGAGTTTGCCAGCTTGCCGGCCTGCTTGTTTGCCAGTTTGCTGCTGTTTGGCTTCGCTGTTTGTTTTATGAGCGTGGGCCGGCCATTAACAATGCTCGATGGCTCTATAGACGGCTTGAATAGGTCTCAATTGGTTTATTGCGGTTTTGACGTATGTGTTTTTCACCCTAATCCAAAGCCCTAGCCGCGGCATTTTAATTCATTTATGCAAAACGCGAAATCTCTCTACCCATCTCCATTTCGCTGCCCAAATTTGCTTATTCAAATTTAAACGCTTTTAGCCAGTTCAGAAAACTGGGTCAATTAACGATGTCAACGTCAAAATGATGCACATTTTACGAACCACTCCTCTTACAAAATGCTCCCCGAAATCCAGTTGGGATGGCATAAACTTCCGCATAAATTTCCGAAAGACTGCAGCGGGAAACTCATTGAGAGCAAAAAGAATCTCAGACGGGGCATAAATTAAAAATACACTTTTTACTCGACCACGGCCGAAGCGGTGAAAAAGAATTTTGACTATGATTGTCATAATCAGCGTAGAAGTTGGAGCAGGAAAATGGAAATATAAACTAAAAAAAAAAAAGAGCCAACGCAAACATTTACCCAACAGTCTTCCCTCGCGCCAACGAACCGGTTGGCGATTAGTGAAATTACTAATTTACATTGGCCAGAAGTTCAGGTGCTGGACAACTAATTCATGCTTTTCGGGCTGTGGGGTTGTGAAGCAGGTTCATGGTTATTTATGTGCTAGAATGTTTTTCCGCCAAAAGGCGGAATAAAGACCCTACGCTTTTTGAGCTGGAATTATAATTTTTTTTTTTTAAACTATTTATTATCTGGATTCTGATAGAATCTATAAAACAACCTTGAAATAAATTCTTGAGTCTAGTAACTTATAAATAAAGCTAATCAAATAACTTGTTTTTATTATTTTTTAAAAAAGTGGCCTTAAAAATAATGTAAAATGTTACTTACAAATTATAATTATTATAGTGTCGTAATATAAATAACATCACGTGCAGAACTAAAACGTTTTTACCTGTTTAAGCTGGGAAATCTTTCCTTCTTTTCTGCGAGTCCTTCTTAAAAGTTTTTATTATTTTCTTGCTCGCATTTTGTTTGTTACTTCTTTAAAAGTTCAACATAAAGTTTCTCCTCTGCTCAGAAAGATGACTAAAAGTTGTGAAAAATGTAGGCAGTCTTGTCATTTTCTTCACCCCTGTTAAACTCAAAATGACGATAGTCGGCAATTGACGGATGACAGTTTGGACGGCAAATCAGTTTAAAATATAAGTTTGACCGTTGCAGATTATTTTGAACGTCCACTTTGACTCCATAATTGAATTAAAAGTTTTCTGGATTAACCTTTTATTAAATTTATTATACAATTGTCGTGAATTGATTAACTAACCTTATCAAAATACAATTATGAACTTGTCTACAAATAATAAGTTACTTTCATAAGTTAATGCTTTTAAAATCATTATTTTATTCCTTTTTATTTTTTATTTTATTTTTTATATTCATTATTCATGTAGGTTAATAAAATCTTTTTGAATTTTAATGCTTAATCTATAACTGTAATAAAAATTATACCTTAAAGTGATTTTCGTGGTTCCCATTTCTATTAGTCTGAAAATTTAATGAGAAATGACTAATATAATTATAGCTTAAATGCTAATTATAAATTTATTATATAACAAAGTATTAGCATCAGAAAAAGGCCAAATCTAGAAATGTGTTGACCACTGGAGAAGCTAATAAACGAAATGAGTCAGTGAGTCAGATGAAATGAAAACAAGAACATTGATGACATTTAAATAACAACCAGTTGCGTAGACTGTTTACCCTTACATTTTAATTAATTCAAACAAACAGCCCAAAATCCCCAAACCCTGTCGGATTGTTTTGCGAAATCTGAAAGATGAATGGAGAGGCCCACTTGAGATGGTGCTTCCCATGAACATTTGGCCACTTGTCTATTGATCTGTTTTGTTGTGCTAGCCAAGAAACTTGAATGTTTTGCGCATTTGAATAGTCGTCGAGTTGGGACACCGAGACGCTTGGAGAAAGCCCATCTTTTGGTTCAGACCTTCTCTTTGTGGGTGTTTGGCAAAAACTTTGGCTCTGCTCTGTTTTTGTTGCCTAATAGGTTTTGGTTATTATTATGGGCAGTGTTATTGTTGTTGCTTAGCGCTTAGCTAGACAGTTAATACGAATCGCTCTGCCAGCAGTATTCATTTCATTGAGTTTTGGGGAAACACTCGCAACTTTGATGTCCCGCCCGGTCGAACCACTTCTACTTTTATTTCGCTTCCTCCGTCGACGCCGCGAGTCGATAAATTCCAAATCATATAAATTGCGGGGCTGCCGAGTGGAGTCTTCAGAATCCATCGAAACTTTGGCGGTGATTAGTGGCAGAAGTTTCCTCGAAATGCGTACATTTGTTTGCCTTGCCCTGGCGACCATCCTTCTGGTCGCCGGCTCTTCAGCAGCTACATTTGATCCTGCGGCCCAGCTCCTGGCTGTGGATGCAGGTGTCCAGGCTCCACAGGCCGCTCGGCCAGTTCGTCAATTCGGCGGAGGATTTGGAGGAAGGCCAGGAGGAGGCGGTTTCGGAGGAGGGCCAGGGCAGGCGGCTTTGGAGGAGGCGGCTTTGGAGGAGGCGGCTTTGGTTTTGGAGGTAATAGAGGCGGTGGATTTGGAGGGTCCAGGAGGCGGTTTTGGAGGTCCAGGAGGCGGTTTTGGAGGTCCTGGAGGCGGCTTTGGAGGAGGTCCTGGAGGCTTTGGCTTCGGACGCTAAATACCAACCAGCAATCATCTGTGACTGACTTAGCCTAAACCACTAGAAATAGAATGTGTAATCAAAGTGCAATCAAGCACGCTCTAATTAAGTTCCAAATAAAATTACCTCTGTTCTTTGATTCACTTAATTTCCTTGTCATTTGCATTGCCTTCAATGACTGGCACTTTTATTCAGAGTTAAATGCGTATACACTTCAAAAAATGTTGGTACAAAATGTTGGCTACAAAATAATGTGAGAGTTAGTCCCGAAAAAAAACATATGGCAAATATAAAAGTAATGTTTTCTATTTAAACACCAATTAATACAATAATTTTTGGCAAACTATTTGATAAATAATATAGGAGCCAAAGAACTTTTATGAGATACAATCTTGTTAAAAAATGGTTACTAGTTTAATATATTTGAAGTCTGGAAGTCCAATGACGTCCTTTTTTTATAGCATATTATAATAAAGTGATTTTAAACCTTTCGAGATTTCTTCGGCACTCCCGTACTAATTTTCATTAATATTACACTAAAGTACAGTACGAAAAGTATCATGCCCCTGTTAATTGTAATCTAATAATGATTTAGTCAACGATTACCGTAAATTGATGAAGATAAATTTGATCTTTTTCTTGGCCTGTATATCAGCATTTAATTCTTTCATTTCTTTTCCTTATTTATAACAAAGCAATCCATTGAAACTTAACTGCGGCTGCTGCCACTGGCGTTTGCTATCTAACTTGCCAATCGCGTTGCCTTGAAAAAGTCGTTTAAGATTAAACGTTTGCTGTAAAATTTCTCTTTTGACAAGCGCCCTTTATTGTTAAAAAATTAACTTGGCTTTAAATTTACGCCTTTTGTTATCCCTTGACCTTAGCGCAGAGGACGGCCACCCAAAGACCCACCCACCCATACAAGGGTCATACGCCAACATTGATAAAAGTTTTCGTTTTTTCTTACTGTCCCATCGCCCCATTTCATTTTTTCTGGCTCGTGAAAAATTTCTCGTTACTAAAACGCAGTCTTGTAAAAGGCTTTGTTAGTCTACACTTTCACGGTATACTTTAGGAACTTTGTTAAAAGAGGACTTTTCTTTTTTGCGCTTTAATGACTTAGCATAGTTGGGGCTTAAAGAGTTCAACAATTTAAGATAACGATTAAGTAAGCTTGGTGATAACTCAGTAGTTACACAAAATAATAGAAACTTAAATAATTTATGTCAGGACTGTATTAATAAATAATATAAATACATTTGATTCTGATGGAGACGATTAGAACTTAGAATTTTGATTCATTAAAATTTTCATTCTCATTATAAATTAAATGTATCGTTGATAGCCGCCAAGTAGTATATCAAGATTTACTTGTGCTTTGTTATTCTTACGAAATCGAAATATTAATAAATTGTATATTGATTTTTGTTTACAATTACAACAATTAAATTTGTAGTAAATTTATTAAATTTTGTTTAACAGTACCTTTTATAAATGTTTCCTTAATAATCCTCATCAGAGTATTACAGATTCGATATACTCCCGCTTCGTCCTGCTCCTTCAGCTTTTGGCCATTTTGGCGTAGCTCTTCTTATCGAAATCGTGTCTCAATAAATCTACGGCACCTTTCGGATACACACCCGCCCACTTTTCGGTGGCCGCCCATCCAAGGGCAACGCCCACGCAGCTGGCAACATCGGTGGGAAAATCGAGAAAAATCCGGAGGCGGGAAAAGCCGTTCGAACTGATTATCCATGTTGACCGTCGCGGCAGCAGCCGCAGCTGATTGATTTGTTATTGAAAATATTAGGCCTGGCCCAGAAGGGAAAAGCCGGATTCGAGATGGGGATCTCGAAAAAGCGAAAAGGGGGACTGACGTGGAACGTGCTGTGCGTTTGGATACGCTTGAAACTTTTATAACTTTATGAGGGCGTTGTAATTTGATATCGCAAAGTTTTTTTTATTGCCTTTTATAGCCTTATAATTTGGCCGCGATGTTGTTACTATTGTTGTTGTCGCCACAAGAGAGATGCTGGCCCATCGGGCGTATACTTGTTGTTTGTGGCGGCTTTTTGTTTACACGTTATTTATGGCTTATAAATACGTATCGCTTTTTGCTGGGGAATGGGCGGCGCTTGGGGCGGATTTTCTGAATTGTAAACAACTCACATGTGGCCCGTACTTAAGAAATCTCTTAATGAGCATTAGATGTCGGCAAATGAAATTACCCATATGTACATGTTTGCATGTCTTTGTAATTGGATTTGTACGCTTTACCTTTTCTAGTCCCGTCATCCAAATGACGGCACATTTTGTATGAAGCTTGTATAATTTTGCAGTCCCAAACGTTTGGTTCTAATTAACTTCGAAGTTGGCGGTTCTTACTCACTTCAAATAATAATAAAGTGCTATAGAAAAAATCCCGAGAAATAGATATTAATATTTTCTATGTTTTTTTTTTATTCCAACCGATTTTATATCTTATAATGACTTTGTTAGAAATACCGCCAATTGACGTATTGGCATGATAATTTGGTTGTTTCTTTATTCTCGTTTTAAGGCAGATTAAAATTTATTGTAAAATATGTATACCAAATGCACTTATTTTAAAAATAATAATAATGTAAGAATTATTGGTTGGAAAAAAAATGAATTTAAGTTGCTGGCTTAGGCAAGTAAACATATTTCGATTTTGTTTATATTAAGAAACATTTTAATTTAATACCTGTGACAAACAAAAATATTATCCGCTTTTTGTTTACTAAGTTATTATTAACTAATGACGTATTGGCAGGTTAAAGAGTAGTAAGTTAAGCATATTATTCTCACGATTGCAGAACATAATTATTAGCGAATGAGGAGAAAAAAGGGAGGAATAAGTCTACGAACAGGTTGTATGCGCTGCGCAGAAATGATTTTGTTATTTTCTTTCTTTTTGCTGTTTTGCTTTTCAGTTGTTTACAATTTCAGCTCGAGGCTCTTGAAAGTCGGGGGTTTTCTTCGCCATTTGATTATGCTCAGGAAATTTAATTGTTTAAGGTCGTCGGCACACAGAACCCGTTTTAGAACGCCACAGTAATCAAGTCGGCAGAGAGCTATATAAAGTGCCTAGGCGGGGGATCGGCTCGAATTTGGAGAACTTTAGGTGAACGAGACAGCGGAGCGATGCGCGTCTACCACTTGAATCTATTAATGCTAAGTGCCGGCCTGCTGGTCCTGCTGGCGAAATCGGGGACCACGGCCCCCCAAGCGGATGTGGATGTACAGCAACTGACTCTGGCGGATGTAAATCAGGCAGTGGAGCAGCAGGAGCAGCCGGCTGTTCGCCTGGCCAGGCAATTCGGATTCGGCCGTGGAGGTCGAGGATTTGGCAGAGGAGGCGGAGGATTTGGCAGAGGCGGCGGTGGATTTGGCAGAGGCGGCGGTGGATTCGGCAGGGGGGCGGAGGATTCTGCTGCGGCGGCGGCGGCGGTGGGTTCCGGAGACCCGGTTTCGGAGGCGGCGGCTTCTATCCACCACCACCACCGCCGCCCTTCTTTGGCGGCCCCTTCTTCGGCTAGGTGTTATTAATTTAATGTGCATACGTGATACGATCAGACCAGGATTAGCTGCTAATAAATCAACACGAGCTGCTGCTCTAATTACCCGACCAAGTGCTGAACCAGTTTTTTATGCGGCGACGCGCATCCATTTAAGTGGGTCGTTCTTTTTTTTAATTCACATCCAAGGTGGATGGCTAAATCCATTATAATGGGGTACGGGCGGAAGCAGGTGTAAGATATGGGGATGATGAAACGTTAGTATTGATGGTTGACATTACCTGAAAAAAATAACATTATATATTACTTTGATATAAGACATTCCCTAAATTTCAATGATATTTGAAGTAATGAAAAATATAAGTTCCCAGACAAACTTTTGACTAAAATTAAAGAGTTTTACTTTGCCAGGTTTTAAGCTGACATGAAAATGGGTCAAAAATTTGATCAACGTTAAATGGAAAAATTTGAATACAGATTTTTAGAGAATTGAATCACAAGTCTTTAGAGGTATGCCACTTTGGAATCGGATTAAATTTGGAAATGTTATGAACTCTAGAAGTCCAATGTTGAGTCACTCTTTTACAAGACATCGGAAAATTAGAAATAACTGACATGAAAATGGGTCAAAAATTTGATCAACGTTAAAGTGAAAAATTTGAATGCAGATTTTTAGAGAATTGAATCACAAGTCTTTAGAGGTATGCCATTTTGGAATAGGATTAAATTTGGTAAAGTTATGGACTCTAGAAGTCCAATGTTGAGCCACTCTTTTACAAGACATCGGAAAATTAGAAATAACTAACATGAAAATGGGTCAAAAATTTGATCAACGTTAATTGGAAAAATTTGAATGCAGATTTTTAGAGATTTGAATCACAAGTCTTTAGAGGTATGCCACTTTGAAATAGGATTAAATTTGGTAAAGTTATGGACTCTAGAAGTCAAATTTTGAGTCACTGTTTTAGAAGTCATCGGAAAATTAGAAATAACTAACATGAAAATGGGTCAAAAATTTGATCAACGTTAAATGGAAAAATTTGAATGCAGATTTTTAGAGAATCTAATCACAAGTCTTTAGAGGTATGCCACTTTGGAATAGGATTAAATTTGGTAAAGTTATGGACTCTAGAAGTCAAATTTTGAGTCACTGTTTTAGAAGTCATCGGAAAATTAGAAATAACTAACATGAAAATGGGTCAAAAATTTGATCAACGTTAATTGGAAAAATTTGAATGCAGATTTTTAGAGAATCTAATCACAAGTCTTTAGAGGTATGCCACTTTGGAATAGGATTAAATTTGGTAAAGTTATGGACTCTAGAAGTCCAATGTTGAGCCACTCTTTTACAAGACATCAGAAAATTAGAAATAACTAACATGAAAATGGGTCAAAAATTTAATCAACGTTAAATGGAAAAATTTTAATGCAGATTTTTAGAGATTTGAATCACAAGTCTTTAGAGGTATGCCACTTTGGAATAGGATTAAATTTGGTAAAGTTATGGACTCTAGAAGTCCAATGTTGAGCCACTCTTTTACAAGACATCGGAAAATTAGAAATAACTAACATGAATATGGGTCAAAAATTTGATCAACGTTAAATGGAAAAATTTTAATGCAGATTTTTAGAGATTTGAATCACAAGTCTTTAGAGGTATGCCACTTTGGAATAGGATTAAATTTGGTAAAGTTATGGACTCTAGAAGTCCAATGTTGAGCCACTCTTTTACAAGACATCGGAAAATTAGAAATAACTAACATGAAAATGGGTCAAAAATTTGATCAACGTTAATTGGAAAAATTTGAATGCAGATTTTTAAGGAATTGAATCACAAGTCTTTAGAGGTATGCCACTTTGGAATAGGATTAAATTTGGTAAAGTTATGGACTCTAGAAGTCAAATTTTGAGTCACTGTTTTAGAAGTCATCGGAAAATTAGAAATAACTAACATGAAAATGGGTCAAAAATTTGATCAACGTTAATTGGAAAAATTTGAATGCAGATTTTTAGAGAATCTAATCACAAGTCTTTAGAGGTATGCCACTTTGGAATAGGATTAAATTTGGTAAAGTTATGGACTCTAGAAGTCCAATGTTGAGCCACTCTTTTACAAGACATCGGAAAATTAGAAATAACTAACATGAATATGGGTCAAAAATTTGATCAACGTTAAATGGAAAAATTTTAATGCAGATTTTTAGAGATTTGAATCACAAGTCTTTAGAGGTATGCCACTTTGGAATCGGATTAAATTTGGAAATGTTATGGACTCTAGAAGTCCAATGTTGAGTCACTCTTTTACAAGACATCGGAAAATTAGAAATAACTGACATGAAAATGGGTCAAAAATTTGATCAACGTTAAAGTGAAAAATTTGAATGCAGATTTTTAGAGAATTGAATCACAAGTCTTTAGAGGTATGCCACTTTGGAATAGGATTAAATTTGGTAAAGTTATGGACTCTAGAAATCCAATATTGAGTCACTCTTTTACAAGACATCGGAAAATTATAAATAACTAACATGAAAATGGGTCAAAAATTTGATCAACGTTAAAGTGAAAAATTTGAATGCAGATTTTTAGAGAATTGAATCACAAGTCTTTAGAGGTATGCCACTTTGGAATAGGATTAAATTTGGTAAAGTTATGGACTCTAGAAGTCCAATGTTGAGTCACTCTTTTACAAGACATCGGAAAATTATAAATAACTAACATGAAAATGGGTCAAAAATTTGATCAACGTTAAATGGAAAAATTTGAATGCAGATTTTTAGAGAATTGAATCACAAGTCTTTAGAGGTATGCCACTTTGGAATAGGATTAAATTTGGTAAAGTTATGGACTCTAGAAGTCCAATATTGAGTCACTCTTTTACAAGACATCGGAAAATTATAAATAACTAACATGAAAATGGGTCAAAAATTTGATCAACGTTAAATGGAAAAATTTGAATGCAGATTTTTGGAGAATTGAATCACAAGTCTTTAGAGGTATGCCACTTTGGAATAGGATTAAATTTGGTAAAGTTATGGACTCTAGAAGTCCAATGTTGAGTCACTCTTTTACAAGACATCGGAAAATTATAAATAACTAACATGAAAATGGGTCAAAAATTTGATCAACGTTAAAGTGAAAAATTTGAATGCAGATTTTTAGAGAATTGAATCACAAGTCTTTAGAGGTATGCCATTTTGGAATAGGATTAAATTTGGTAAAGTTATGGACTCTAGAAGTCCAATGTTGAGTCACTCTTTTACAAGACATCGGAAAATTATAAATAACTAACATGAAAATGGGTCAAAAATTTGATCAACGTTAAATGGAAAAATTTGAATGCAGATTTTTAGAGAATTGAATCACAAGTCTTTAGAGGTATGCCACTTTGGAATAGGATTAAATTTGGTAAAGTTATGGACTCTAGAAGTCCAATGTTGAGTCACTCTTTTACAAGACATCGGAAAATTATAAATAACTAACATGAAAATGGGTCAAAAATTTAATCAACGTTAAATGGAAAAATTTTAATGCAGATTTTTAGAGATTTGAATCACATGTCTTTAGAGGTATGCCACTTTGGAATAGGATTAAATTTGGTAAAGTTATGGACTCTAGAAGTCAAATTTTGAGTCACTCTTTTACGAGACATCGGAAAATTAGAAATAACTGACATGAAAATGGGTCAAAAATTTGATCAACGTTAAATGGAAAAATTTGAATGCAGATTTTTAGAGAATTGAATCACAAGTCTTTAGAGGTATGCCACTTTGGAATAGGATTCAATTTGGTAAAGTTTTAGACTCTAGAAGTCCAATGTTGAGTCACTCTTTTACAAGACATCGGAAAATTATAAATAACTAACATGAAAATGGGTCAAAAATTTGATCAACGTTAAATGGAAAAATTTGAATGCAGATTTTTAGAGAATTGAATCACAAGTCTTTAGAGGTATGCCACTTTGGAATAGGATTAAATTTGGTAAAGTTATGGACTCTAGAAGTCCAATGTTGAGTCACTCTTTTACAAGACATCGGAAAATTATAAATAACTAACATGAAAATGGGTCAAAAATTTAATCAACGTTAAATGGAAAAATTTTAATGCAGATTTTTAGAGATTTGAATCACATGTCTTTAGAGGTATGCCACTTTGGAATAGGATTAAATTTGGTAAAGTCATGGACTCTAGAAGTCAAATTTTGAGTCACTCTTTTACAAGACATCGGAAAATTAGAAATAACTAACATGAAAATGGGTCAAAAATTTGATCAACGTTACATGGAAAAATTTGAATGCAGATTTTTAGAGAATTGAATCACAAGTCTTTAGAGGTATGAAACTTTGGAAAAGGATTAAATTTGGTAAAGTTATGGACTCTAGAAGTCAAATTTTGAGTCACTCTTTTACAAGACAGCGGAAAATTAGAAATAACTAACATGAAAATGGGTCAAAAATTTGATCAACGTTAAATGGAAAAATTTGAATGCAGATTTTTAGAGAATCTAATCACAAGTCTTTAGAGGTATGCCACTTTGGAATAGGTTTAAATTTGGTAAAGTTATGAACTGTAGACCACTTGTGTGCAACCTTATTACACAGCTTTTTAACTTTTTTAAAATTGCAATAAAGATTTTTGTTGATAACGAGCAACCTGGAAGAGCTTTCTAATAAATCAAATGAATTAGCTGCTCTAATTGCCAAAGCAAGTGCTTGAGTTGTGTACGACGCTTAAGCTTTATAGAGTTTACTAATTCCCATAAATAGGGCTGCTTGCGTTGTGAGAAATATTATTGTAAGAATAAAGATTAAGATGCATGGACTACACTGTATCATATTTTTAATTTGTGGAGTACTTTTCGCTGAAAGCGCTGTGCCGGAGGATTATAAAAAGGATGCACAACATAATTTTCCCAATGAAGTGAAAGATTTGGATGAATCTATAGAACGGATACGACGTCAGATTGGAGCCTTTGGAGTTGGCATTGGAGTTTTTGGGGAACGACATGTTGGACCTCTTGGTAATCCCTATTATGGGAATCCATATGGCAATCCGTACTTCGTTCAGCCATATGGCCATTATTTCCATGATCGCAGATTTGGAGGAGGCTTTCCTGGAAATTTCTATGGTCGCTG